AATATTCCGTCATTTCTCACTAATATACACTCAAAATGAGCTAAATCGTTTGGTTATGGAATATTCCGTCATTTCTCACTAATATACACTCAAAATCCTTGATATGCGGTGGGCGTGGCTGGGTACTCGAGCTGAAGTAGCGGCAGCCATGGTTTCCGCCACATACTTTCAATTTGGGAAAGTTGTAATCATAGTTTCATCTAACACAGAACGAGGTGACAGTTGTCTGAAATTGAAATCCCGCGAGTAACCCATTCTATGCCATGTTCAAATGCCACGCCTGTTCCGTCTCAGGGATAAGGAGTGTACATTATAAGCACACAGGTGCGTTCTAGTTAGAAACGATGGACCTTAGGAACCGGCTTCAGTTACGCTAAACTGCCAAAGTAAAATGAGGCCGAACAATTAGAATCATAGTGCACGGATGGAATTTTACAGCATACCATTAACCTTTTCTTTTTTCACTTATTCAGAGTTTAGGCAAATCTCAATTTTGCTAGGAATCCGTCCATGCTTGTAGCTTGACGAACTGACCACGAACAATAGCGCATTTGACGCGTAAGTAATATCCTGGCTCTCAAAACACCTTGGCCGGAAGTGAGACAGAGACTATCAAAGGGAAATTACTAGCTGTTAGGAAGACTCACTTCTGTGAGGAGGTAAGTCGGTCCGTGACTATGCCATTTACGGTTCACGCTGGGATGCAAAGAGTCTAATATGCTATTTCGCCGGGTTAGCTCAACCCCCTGGGTTGAGACCATGTCTCTCTGCCATCCCATCATGCTCTTTCGCAACTAACGAGAAGAGACAGGGTTTTTCAACGTTTCGTACTTTTTCTTTGAATGTCACTGAAACAACTTCATTATTGAACCCCATTACTCACGCCCTGGTATCGCTAAATATGCTCACAAGTGCGCTGTTGTATTCAGGGGGGGGGGAGAGTAAAAAAGACACTTTTCTTCCTTGACTTTCAAGGCGCTATAAGTTACACTTTATCAAATTCTGATTGGACATTTCCACCACCATATTCAACAGCATATTGTATACTATCATGATACTCCGCCACAGCCTTCTGGACGAGCGCCATCGAGAGATTCTGCCACGCGACCGTGATTCGGTACCTGAGTTCAGCGAGATCGTTGATTTCTCCGCCACTGTAGACCACCCTGTTGAGCTCCGCCCGAACCGGGTAATTGAGGGGTTCAGGTGACACACTTGGATATTCCGTCTTCTTCAGGTACTCAACGCCCTTCCATTCCAAGTAGGCGAGAGTTTTTCCAACGCCCTTCGATTCCATGTGCTGGCACCCAATGTAGCAGTACGAAGTTTCCAAGATGGTACAGGCGACGACATGAAGGCAGGATATTCTCCTCGAGTTGGTCGATGTAACCGTCAGCGTTCACTTTCAGTCCGGGGTCCACGAAGAAAATATCGGTCTTCACATTCCAGGAACTTCCGGTCCATACCACCAACCCGCGCCTTGGCGACTGCGGTGAAGATGATATCCTGGACCGTAGCGACGTTGTCAGAGCTGTTGGAGGTGACGTGAATTCCATAGGCCTTCTCCAGTCAGGCTGCGATTGGAGATGACTTCATATTTTGGTGTACATGAAGGTGATGGACAAGAGGTTGCTCCTGCTTATCGAGGAACATCTTGGGTATCTTCCGCCCTGGTACTCGTATCCACTTCTATCTCAGCTGCGTAAACTTTACTGATCTGTGACTCGGCCAAAGTGTCTTTTTTTCATGAACACGAAGGCAGGACATCCTCCTCAAGCTGGTCGATGTAACCGTCAGCGTTCACTTTCAGTCCGGGGTCCACGAAGAAAATATCGGTCTTCCATTCCAGGAACTTCCGGTCCATACCACCAACCCGCGCCTTGGCGACTGTAGCGGCTTGTCGGAGCTGCTTGATGTTGGAGGTCTCCTAGAAAAGAGTACTAGTCTTCAAGAGTACTAGTCTATTGGATTGGAGATGACTTCATATTTTGGTGTACATGAAGGTGATGGGCGAGAGCCAGCTCCTGCTTATCGAGGAACATCTTGGGTATCTTCCGCCCTGGTACTCGTATCCACGTCCTCTGTCTGGGCTGCGAAAACTTTGCTGATATGTGACTCGGTCAAAGTGCCTTTTTTGCCCCCTCCTGCTGTATATCTCGATACGTAACATGTTCGCCAGTCTGGAGCTTACAATTAGATACCTTCAACTGGGTCGACTAATGTGTCGCTTCCAGGACTTGAAGGCAGTTGGCAAGATAAATCCCTAAGAAGGGTAGGTTGAATACGGAATTCCACGCTCCTGAGCAGGCGCTGCGCAGGGCCATTTCCAAGGAACCGTAAAGCCCACCAAGCTGCAACATACCGACCCGTGCGCTCACGTTGCCCGCCCGCCCACTAATGGACGACCGTACCTGATGCTCGTATTCCTTCATTTCTTTCAAGCAACTCTTTCTGAGTCGTTAAGAATGAAGGCTTTTGACCGTTCACTTCGTTTTCGCCATGTTCCCTACTCTATAGCACCTGCTAGCATTTTGGACAGAGTACCATATTATCACGCCATATGCCTTTGAAATCCTTAGCGTATCTACATACCTCTTGAGAAGTTGGAATCAGGTGGTAGAAGTACATACCTCAGTGCATCCATGACCAGTGTACCCCTTAGGGCATTGGCACTTTCCAGTGATATGATCGCAAGGTTTCTGATTGGAGCAACGACAGGTTTGTGAGCAGTGACGTCCGAAGTAACCTTTGAGGCAAGCTAAATCAAATGCCTCAGTAAATTCAGTAGTAGCAACAGTGGTGACACAAGTGCAATTCGTTTATAATGGAAAATGTCTGATCATAACGACAAACAGACATCAACGTGGGATTCTGCTAAGCGCAGACATGTTTTACTTTTCTTTGTAATGGTATGTGATTTGGTCTAGAACAGTCAATTACTCTACGACAAATACTGATGGAGTGGATTTGCTCACTGTCCTTCTCATGCTTCCAGGATGAAGGTGGAAACTCAACCCAGCTGTGAGGAACATTTAATATTTTTTAAAATGCAATGCAGGGTATAGCATCGTGGTGAGCGAAATGGCGGTGTCAGTAGAACCTTTCCCTCCCTTTTCAAATTGTATCTGGTATGGCCCCCTTTCCTAACCTACCTACCACACTACTGAGCTTTCCCAACTTCCTAGCAATAACCCAGTCTTCATTAGAATTTCAACTTTTTCCCCAAAAACTGCTGTTGAGCTGGGAGAGGAAGTCGTCACCAGTCGAGCACTAGAAGCAACAATCAAAAATTGTGGTTTTGCGACGCAGTCAACCAGGAGAGTAAATGTTCATAGCGAACCTGAAGCGGAGCGGAAAAATCGGGGAAAACTATGCAGGCGGAGAAGATTTGCTCGCAGTTCACAAATATCTTTCTTAGGCACATACTGTACCCCCCCCCCCGCAGCAACACCTTTAGCTACAATCCCCAATGGGATTCTCCCAGCGATGCTGTGCCCTACGCAATGCCATTTGGAAGTTATGCATGAAGGAAAATAGTTTCTGAGACTTACGTCTGCTGCATTTTCGTCCTCTCCATCCTGCCTGACACGAACAATGTCCGCTAATCGGATCACATGTAGCACCGTTTTCGCACTCACACACCTCTTCGCAGTTCGCTCCGAAATGGCCAGACGGGCATTGACGCTCACATCTGAAACCAAATTTCAGTAAGTATTTTAAAACAGCTTAAAAGCCTATCAATTTAAGGATCACTAGCGCTAACAAAATGGCTACAACTTTCCATTCATTCCATAAAGCCACACTGGAGGCTATAAAAAAATAAGATTTCAGCAACAAAAGTATCAACCATGCTTGAGAAATGACTGTCGTACCTCTCGCCCCTCCATCCAGGTAGACATTCACATTGTCCGGTTGTTCGATTACAGTTTGCACCATTTTTGCAATCACAGCGCAGTTCGCAGTTTAGACCATATTGACCGAATGGGCACACTGATGAAAGAAATTGTTAAAAAAATGATTTTTACTTCGAAGTTTGTCCTGCTTGAAAATTGCGATTGAATTTCGGGCTTGACTCACAGAACTCGCATGCAGGTCCTGTCCATCCAGCTGCACAAGTACATTCACCAGTTTTTGGATTGCAGCCACCATCGTGCATGCAGAGACAGTGATGAATACAGTTTGCTCCCCACAGTCCTTCAGGGCATTCTGAGCAAAATAAGTATTGCATATTAGAGATGAAAACTTTCTGCATAAAATTTCAGACACCAAAGTAAAAAATCTTAGCGCTACGAACCTGTCTCACAGTTCTTCCCCATGAAGCCAGCAGGGCAGTCACAGAATCCAGTGAGACGATCGCATGTAGCACCATTCGAGCACTCACATTCACTGCTACAGCCGGACCCCCATCTAAATCATTTCTGCTGAGTACTATTTTCTAATCACTTCTACTTCCAATCCTTCGTGAGAATCCCCTTCACACTATGACACAGAAGTATTGATGTCGAAGGGAACCTCCGCAGTATGAACAAGTCCTGATCTTTCTCTCTTCCTAGGAAAACAAATGCCACTCGAAAATGCGGGACTGCTTCAAAAAGTAGTGAGCAAATCGGCATCAATCGATTCCTCTTTTGGGATGCGCCCCGCATCCTATTTCTGTGCAGAAGTGAACTGGCGCTTTGAATGCCTTACGACCCTTATATACAGTTAATATTTTAGAGTCAAGCAGGGCTGTGTTAGGAGGCGTAGAAAGAGTTCAACTGCGGTTGTCTCACAATAGCGGCTGCTTCATGTGGAAAACAATGAGCGCAAGAATACACCGCGGGTCGAGTGGGCTCATTCCACGCATTCTGCCGGACTGAGATCAAACCCATTGATCCTCTGAACATTGACATGTGAGTGAAGGCCAAAGCACAATTCCTTTTGATTTTTTCGAGCCTACCAAATTCACCAGAGCTCCGAGAACCACTTTATCTGTGCCGCAGTGAAGGAAGATAACTCTAGTACGAAGCCAGTCCGACATCCACGTTCGGCAAGCGTACACAATCGCGCTGCAGAGGGTAAAACGCGACACGTGCGAGACTCACAAAGGCAAGCTTCACTCGAAAAAAATTGCTGCTTTAGCCAGATTCTCGGCGTTCTCGTCGCTCAGCGATTCAGAAGAAGAGCAGTACGAGTGGTTTACCGCATCCGGTCAAGCACTCGCTGTTTCCTTGAGTAAGCGCTTGAATTTGCTATACGGAAACACTGCTTCATGCACCCGTGCAAAATCCTTCCATGTTTTCCTTGTGAGCTACACACTGCCATTGTCGACTGGAAATTCTACTGGAAATATACACTGACACTGACCATTTGACTCCGCGATTCGCCGGGGGTATTATAAAAGCAAGTAAATGACCCGTTATTTTCAAACACAACTGTATCATTGCACTCTCACCTTCCAGGAGGACATGGTGTAGCACAGTCCGGTCCCGTCCAACCAGGGGGACAACGACAGTCTCCCGTAATGTGATCACACCGTGCCACAAATGGATTGTATAAGGCGGTCTCATCTGTTAAAAAAAGTTAGATGAAAGACAGAATATGAGTTGAAAAACAGCGATTTCTTCAGAACGTACTTGTAGTTGCGCAGTCGCAAATGAACCGACATTCGTCACCATAGCGTCCATCGGGACAGGGTCTGTCGCATCTGAAGTAAATTAGTCGTAATGCTTCACAGTGTTGTATTCAAAGAGTAATTGCCTCAGTGATTCAAAATGTAAATCAAACATGACTTGTTGCCAGCTATACCTACTCTACATAGAATCTTCCGGTTTTGAAACTTGCATCCCAATGATTGCGACATCTTCTACCAATGCTTACTCATTTGTGTCGATTGTGTCAAACAAGGGAATCGGCGGCTCACCCAATTTCCCCTGTTCAGGTGGATGCGAGGAGTCAACGACCTTTTACCTCTTCGAATTCATCCTCACTTTCTGCTTCTTCAGCCTCTTCCCGCTCTGATTAGGCAGTTCAGGCAAGTGGGCAGCCGTACGCTTCTCACGGAATTTTACCAGAAAAAGCTCAACGCAAAGATTGACGCACAGCGTGTTCATAAAGCGGTGCCTGGGAATTTCACGAAACGAGCAGTGAATCATGGTCTGTCTCGATCACGAATTGTTTCGAGACAAACCATAAATCACTGCTCAACTGACCGATCTACAATCTACCCCTCTGGGATGCTCCCGTGCTTGGCCAGTGCCATGTAATCGCTGTGTTGAGACTTACCGTTTCCCTCTCCAGCCTGGTGTGCATGAGCAGGCTCCCGAGACGACGTCACATGTTCCGCCATTGGCGCAGGCACAAATCCCTCGACAGCCAGCGCCGAAATGTCCAGCCTCGCAATCTGAACGCACATAACTTCATACACTCAGAATAGCGCAGCATCGGCAATATCATTGTGAAATCCTAATGAAGCTTCTTAGATGCTTCTAATGTGCCATATCGGTAATTCCTCATCGGGACTACCTCCAATTTTGAAGTGGGAGATGTGTTCTGTAATCGCCTGCTGGGTGAGTGGCTTCATTTCTACGCCGTTAATCCGGACATCATTCGGTGCTGTGGGATGCTACGAAACAACTATGAACCAAAGAGTCAAGGTTTTTTTATCGGAGCCTAGGAGAGAAGGAGCTCTGAAGTTGATGAAGGCATTTATTAGAGCGGAACTGATTTTCTCATTCCGTGTACATAACCCGAACTCATTTTTTGCACCGTCAGTGAAGGGTGTCACAAGAGGTTGACTTTCAAAAGATGCTGTCGCGTTTGCACTCCGCCTTCGCTATAGATTCCATAGAAGAAAACGTAGAATAAGTAAAACTTGTACGCAGAAGAGTGCAGTACAAAGTGATACGAACAACGTAGCTCTACCGAAAACAAAACCTTGTGTTCATAGGTTCTGCATGGCTAGGTTGCATCTTTAATGTTAGGCAGCGTTCAGACTTCGCGACGGCAGCGCTTTGGTCGAGCGTTCGACGCAGTTGGAAATATGATCGCGTCGAATCGATCGATCGATCGCTTCGAAGGCGCGACCGAAGCGCTGCCTCGACGAATCCAGTTTACCTTGCTCGCATTTAGCTCCCCTTTTGCCAGGAGGGCAGATGCATTCACCATCGGATGGGTCACAATGCATACCATTGGCGCAATCACAGCGTTGTAAGCAGTCCTGTAACGAAAATTGTCGTGAAATCGGTCAGCGTAATAGGATAAAGGCCAACGAACTATGAGCGAAATAGAGCTACTGATTGACACGCATTAAGTGCTCGATCTTCAGAGGCAGTGGTCACGATGGCTGGGGGGAGGGGGTGTTACTGCCAACGTCATTGGTGGAAGGGCTGCGTGAAAGCCTTTGGCCACACCCCATTCATCCCTTCCTCCAGTGAGAGTACAGTAATCCCCCGCCTCCAGTCATCGTGTCCACTGCTTTTGAGGAACTACCGGACTTTCGAATCTTTGACCAATCAGTAAAGCAGTGCATTCGGGGGAAAGTTTTTACCTTTCCATAGGTTCCCGGCTCACATGGCTTCTCACAATTGTCTCCTGTCCAACCAGAGCGACATTCACATTTTCCATCCACAGGGCTACAGAGAGCTCCATTCTTGACAGTCGCACAGCTTCATGCAGTCCGTACCGTATCTTCCGGCTGGGCAAACTGAAGTAATCGGTATTAACCCCGCAGTGATACTCGCTGAACTTGAAACGTTTTTATCATTCTGGAGAGAGATCGAATTAGTGAGAGCAATGGGAATTTAAGAGGCACTCGAAAGCTGAAAGATGTTATACAATGCAACCGGGAGCGTAAACGAACGGGACCCTTGTGTTATTCAACATTTTCTCAAATCAAATCACGGAGAGCTAACGTAATTGCTTTTACTACTGGCATCCATTCCATTTTAAGGAGATATATCTTTTGAGGAGTAGTGTAGACAATGAATCAAACCTTCACTGCAAGTCGCTCCATAGAATCCTGGCGGACAAATGCACGAGCCGTCTTTAGCATTGCACTCGGCCCCATTTTGGCAAATACATTCATGTGCGCAGTTTGGCCCATAAAGGCCAGCCGGACAAGCTGAAAAAGCTACGCTTTAACCCACGAAGTGACTTCATGACTTGTAAAATCTGGCCATTGACAATCGCGAGTGGCTGCCATCGACCGCGCTCGACTATGATTTCATCGTGTTGCATGAACGTTCACTGAAGCTCCCGCTTCTCAACAGCCTTCACTCCGATTATGTCAATCAAGGGGCGAAAAAAGAAAATAGACGGGTGAGAGGTGATTTACACTATTTCCTGCTAATCGTCATTGTATTTACTTCATGGGATATTCAGTAGGACACTCGAGGTCATTCCATAGGGAGCATGTGGTCGCGCACTTTATTTGGAGGTGGGAACAGCTGCGTTTTTGTGAGACATTCCTTTTCGAGACATCTATAATCTTGCCTTTCTTCAACATAAGACAGGATGAAAGTCGTCGGAAATGGAAGTATCCCACGCAAAACGCATCCTATGCCTTGTTAAATGCAGTACGCAGCCACACTACACCCATTCTGAGGATACGGAGTGGTCCCCCAGATCAATTGATGATTTTGGAGGATGTCTTTCACATTGCTGCTGATGTGCTACTATTGTTGTGAACATGCCAAGGTTGATGTGACTAAGAACAACGAGCACTTACGTATATCACACATCACTCCAGTTAATCCAGGTAGGCACGAGCAGGTACCAGTGACGTGGTGACAGGCCTTTGGTTGGCCCGGCTCCGAACAATTACATCGTTGCTCGCAATCGTAACCATACGTACCAGGTGAACACACTGTAACAGTACTAGTGCAGCACAATGGCTGGTATCCTTCAAGGACCCGCCAGTACACAACTACGTAATAACTAATTCGACCATCACGAGACAAAGGTGGTCAGTTACAAAGTGGGTGAAAGAGAGGAAACAGGAGTGAACTAAAACACGGATCATACTTCACACTACAAGATCTGTACCTACAAAAGTGCGAAGAGATAAGTGCCTGAATCGGGCTATTTGTACAATCTTAGATGGGTTGCAGGTTTCTTTATTATACCAGTTGTTCTCTCGGTGCACCACTGCTCCAGAAGCATTGCTGCATTTTTCACAGCATATATCACTTACTAGATACATGAATTATCACATATCACTTCTAGTTGATTAGATGATAGGGCGCTTAAATAGAGTGCTCGCGCGATGTCGCAGGTATAAACTTGCGGTGATGGAGTTCCACTTTCCCAGCTTCATGTAAAACTGCCATCGGATTGCAACCTTACATTAAGGCTAATTAGTTGGATCTTGGCGCGAATGGCGCGCATTTCGTTGCATAAATCCAGTCATAGGGTACTATTGGCCGCTGGCAACGGTAAGCGTTCGTGGTCTTGAGAAGAATTATTCTAAATGCTTATTTTCCTGTTTCACGCGCGGAATGCGCCTTGTCTCTTTTGGCAAATGCACTGCAGAGATACGTGTGAGCGTCAGGACACGCTGCCGTTCGGGAGAAATATTGCAAAATACAAATCTTCAAAGGTTCCTTTTGGGTGCCCCCCCTCTCCTCACCCTCTCTCGCCTTCCCATACTACCTATGTGCCATCGTCCAAGATTCCCCCAAATTGTGACTTCTTTTGCGCAGTTTTTATTGGAAACCCTTCAGCCCCTCGCCGCTCCCCCACCTATAAAAAAACACGAAGGAGGGGAGCAGGTGAGGGGATGGTAGGGGGAAGAGCGAGCGGCACATATTGCACACGTGAAACGACAAACACGAAAAGAGCCAACAACCAAAAACATTCTCTGCAAATACGAACCCATCCCTTCAGCCACCAAGTACGCCTCTCCTGCCTACGGTGGGAATACCCAACGCAAACGCACGACGTGCTGAGGCTGCTACCGGTTTGTCCACCCACAAAAGGGTGATTCCATACGAGTCCGTGATGAAACGCATCGAAGTTTGGAAGGAACCCAAAGGTCTACACGTGTTAACTGCAGCTGCCTTGCACGTTGG